TTGCTTTATCCACCAGTGGATACCCAGCATCTAGTCCAGTGCCTGGCACATAGTAGGTGCTTAAAAAATATTTGTTGAATTAATGGATGGATTGGCCTAAGGATTAAATAATAAATGTGTTGCACAGTGCCAAGCATACAGTTGCCACTAAATGAATGTTTCTTGGATCTGAACTGACTCCCTAGATTTCTGTCATTTCCTCTTTGTGTTTTCTTGTGGCCTACTTGCTGGCACACATCCCAGGAGCTTTGACCGTGGATCACCAGGCTCTTGGTCATCACACTTGGCTTCCACCCACACCTCCCAATCTCAGCAGCAGAGCCAGCCCCCAGGGCCTGTCCCACATCCCCAGGCCACCTCATCTATCTTAATGAGCTCAACGGCCACCTATGTGTACCTTCACTCAGTCATCCTTCATTCATCCAACACATCGTAAGGATGTCTACTGTCGCCACACGTCCGCCCCGGACTCCTCCCCAAGCTTTAGATTCTTGCGTTTGTCTGTGGCCATACCACCCTGACCGTGCCTGATCTCAGAAGCTAAGCAGGGTCAGACCTGGTTAGTACTTGGATGGGAGATTCCTACATCTAATGGGCTACTGAATGTCCCCACCTGGACCTGCCTGGGTGCTGCAAAAGGCCAAATCTGACCCTTCCTTTCTCACACCCACTTTTTCCTCCAGGGCTCTCTAAGCTGACGGTGCCACTGTCGGCCCAGTCACCCAAGAGCTGCCCGTGACACCCCCAGGTGGGCGCCCAGGCCTGACAATTTATTTCCTAAGTTCTTCTCACCTCTCATTCCTTCCGGCCTTTTCTGCCCCAGGAGCTCTGGGATCCCCAAGTTCTCTTCCCTGGGTTTCTCCCTCCTTACTGCTCTATCCGCCTCCTTTTCTCCGTCCTACCTGTCCTCCCAGTGCTGATCCCAGGAGGCTGTGTCTCCTGCCCCCACCTTCGATGCCTCCTAATTGCTCTCAGTCCAAGCTCTTGGCCTGTTCCCAAGGCTCCCACAGCCTGGGGTCCCTGCTACCTGCTCAGCCTCATCTCCTGCTCTCTCTGTCCCGCACTTCATAAAGAGTCCCCTGCCTGACATCTTTCTGTAGCTCAGCTCCAGGGCTCAGCTCCTTCTGCCTGGAATACCTTTCCTTCCTAACCTCACCTCTTTACCTGGTCAGCCCTTACTCACCCTTCCAAGCCAGTTCAATGTCACCTGCTCCAGGAAAACCTTTCAGACCCCGCCCAGCCTAGATCACAGACTCTTCAGCCCTGCTCCCCTATTACCCACACATGACTCTATCCCGCGCACGCACCACGTTATTTTATAATTATCTGCGTGTGTGTCTGGCTTCTCCGGGCTTATTCATTGTCCTACCCCTCTGTGCCCAGCGCCTGGCACAGAGTAACCTGCTTTTCAGATTCTATTACGTTGTAACAAGTCACCCCATAATTTAGTGGCTTATTTTATTTTGCTCATGGTTTTGTGGGTCTGCAATTGGAGACCGTCTGAGCCAGGCGGTTCTCACTTGGGATCTGCCAGGGGCTGGATGCACAAGATGGCGCACACGCACAGCTGCAGCCGACGCGGGCCACTGGCTAGGAGTCAGCTGCGCTTGCCACCCAAGTGCCACAGGTGGCTTCTCCAGCATGGCAATCTCAGGGTGGTCAGACTCCCCCAGAGCCAGTATCCCGAGAGCGCCAGGAGGAAGCTGCACAGCCTGGTCTGATCTGGCCTTGGCAGTCAGGCAGCATCACTTCCACTGCATTCTGTTGACCACTCAAAGCAAGTGGCTGAGGCAAAGATGGCAAACCACAGCTTGAGGACTCATCTGGGAAACACAAGCCATAGATGCACCTGTGATTGTTTCTTCCCTCCCAAGAGGGATTTGGGGACTTCAGTATTTAAGGGGAGAGGGCACACGGAAAGAAAGTGGAGGAGACGAGTCAGCAGTGAGACCAATGGCTACATTCTTGTGTGGCCCAGGACAGCTACCTTTTACATAAGATAAGGTGAATGTTTGAAGAGAAAAAAGGAGTGAAGAAAGAATCAATTATGTAGATGTCCCCAGGTAGGTGGAAGAATGATTGGTCTTGTCCTCTTTGTTCTGCACCTGGAAAGATAAACTTGTAAATCAGTTCTAGGAGCTGGACTTATAGAGTTGCCATTTGCATGTGCTTGCTTATGGGAAGCAGCAAGGAATTCCCTTATGAATGACCTGTGGGGCAGCCCTTTGAAATGCCTGAGGCCTTCACCTTCTTGGGGATCTGGCAAATGAAATGTTAGTAATAGCTGTTCACGTGGACAGCAGTGTTGCCCACGCAGCCTCCAGGCTTGACCTTCTCTTTTGCATAAAGAGTTGGGGGGTGGTCCTGAGATTTTTATTTTCCTTTACCCTGTGTATGACAAGTGAGCCACTAAGATCAACTCAGACTCAGGGAGAGGGGGCAGAGTCCCCACCTTTCACTGGGAAAAGAGTCAGAGAATTTGCAGACATGCTTTAAAACCACGAGAACCCTCAACCCTTTTTCGTTGGCTGGATGGTTGAAGAGAGAGATGCCAGATTGCTCCCCACCTATCCTGCCACATGAATAGCTAGTTCTTTCCTTCCTGCCTCTTTTTCCTTTCCTTCCTCTTTCTCTTGCACCACCGTGACCCCCACTGTGACCCCAGCGCATTTGGGGATGGGCAGGGCAGAGCGGCCTGGTGTGGTGGTGGGGGGAACCACAGGCTAGCAGCCCACAGCTTCTGCCTCCACCTGCCTCATGCCCGCTGGCATGAGATGCTGGGACAAGTCCCTGTCCGTCCTGGGCCAGATGTTCTCTAAGATCCTCCCTGCCTCCCACTTTCAGCTCTAAGTTTAGGTACCTTCATAATTCCTACTTGCTTTCTGAAAAGGGAGCTGATGTCCAGGCCGGCCCCAGTCTGCAAGGCTGCCCCAACCTTCAAAGTCTTTGGGGGTTTGCTTCTTAACGACTCAAGCACACAGAGCACATTCTGGCGTGAGGAACTCTAATACTACAGAAGTATGCACAACAAAATGGGAAATCCCCCACCACCTTCCTTTACACCCTGCCGCCCTCCAAAAGCGAAGGCCTCCATTGGTTCAGGACTGCCCTGCATCTACTTTCCCGAACCTTGTAGATTTCCAAGAAAAAGAAAGCTTTGCTGGTGCTATGTGGTTTGTCTTTTCCTTTTGACATTAAGATCATACTGTTCATGTGTCTGCAGCTTGCTCTTTTTGGCTTCATTCTATGTCTAGGACATCTGTCCATCACCTAAGTCCCTTTCAAAAAAAAAATAAAACCCTACTCTATAATATGCTATAGGATGAATGAGCCATAATTTATTTGACCATGCTCCCCATGGTCAAACATTTTGGTAGCTTCCAATTTTTATTATTTCATGCAATATTGCAAGGGACATCTTCAGGCGGTTTGCAGCACTCCACGGAGTTGCAGGGCTGAGGAATACCCCATCCCTGCGCAATGGAGTGGAGAGCCTGTCTCAAGCAAGCCAAGTTCAAGTCCTGCTGCCTGCACGTTGCCAGCTGTGTGTCCTGGGCCAGCGCACCGCCTCTCTGAGACCTGCTGAGCTGAGCCGAGCTAACAATAGCCCTGCCCGACAGCCTGGGGCTGCTGACGGCTGGCGGGGCAGGGGGTGCGCGGGAGAAGGGCCAGGCCGGCTTGCTGCTTATCAGAGCCGGGCTCTGGCGCCGGTTACATAATGGGCCGCTAATGCTGTTTTACTTGTCGATGGAACCCAAATTAAAAGAGGAAATTATTCTCCTGATGCTCAACTCGCCTAATCCCCATCTGTCTCTCCCCTGGTCCCCTCCCCTCGTTGCTGCGCTCGCATCTAAAGGTCTTGAACGCGTTCCAGATTTCTAATTTCGTTTGCTTATGCAACCAAAAATATATGGCCGCGTTTCCTGGGGGTGATGAAGTCTATATTCTGGGCGCCAGGCACACTAAAAACGGCAGTGCTAGGGCCCGGCGCCGTTCGCGCGTGCACCACGCGCCGGCTTTTTTTGGTTCCTGCGAGGCGCGGGCAGCTCTGCAGCCACGGGGGCCGCAGGCGGGCATAAGGCGCGGGCTGCAGTCGCCGAGGGTCCCGGCGGGCCTGGGATGGCCCCGGGGAGCACAGGCCTTAGAGCCCGGAGGCAGGAGGGGAGCAAGGGGCCAGCCGGGGCACCGGGAGATGCTGGGCACATTCTGGTCGCAGCAGCCTGGGTGTCCTGTCAGAACCTCAGTCCCCTCCTCCGTCTTTTCTTCTCCGACTCTGACTCCTGCGTAGCAGGTGCAGGAATCTATCTTTCTTGCATGTGCCCCACCGGCCCCGAGATCTGTTGAAAGATGTTTATTGCACTGTTGTGTATTCTGAAATCCTGAAAAATTGTCTGCCAAGAGGGGGTAAATGATGGAAAAAATGAGAGAACATCAACACTCTGGCATACTGTGTAGCTGATTAAAAAAAGAATGAGGCAGATCAAGATGTATTAGTATGTATCAGATTACTAAATTTCTTTTTTAAAAAAGCAAGTCACAGAAAAATACTGAGTATGGTTCCACTTGTGGTTTTAAAAATCCATGAACACGGAAGTGGAAGGACACATGGAACTGTTAACACTTTCACCTCTGGCATGGGAACCGAGGCTGAAGAGACTTGCATTTTATTTTATTTTATTTTGAGACAGGGTCTCACTCCGTCACCTGGGCTAGAGTGCCGTGGTGTCAGCCTAGCTCACAGCAACCTCAAGACTCCTGGGCTCAAGTGATCCTCCTGCCTCAGCCTCCCGAGTAGCTGGGACTACAGAGATTGCCACCACACCCTGCCTAATTTTTCTATTTTTAGTAGAGACAGGGTCTCACTCTTGCTCAGGGTGGTCTCAAATGCCTGACCTCAAGCAACCCTCCCGCCTCCGCCTCCCAGAGTGCTGGGATTATAGGCATGAGCCACCGCGCCCAGCCTAAGATTTGCTTTTTAACTCTACTTCTGCATTATTTGAATTGTACAAAAAGACTCTATTCATTTATTACTTGCATAATTTTAAATATTTGCTTTTAATGTGATAGAGGAGGGGCAGCAGGGAGCCTCCCTGACTCTATCTTATTCTCTGGAAACAGTGGTCAGATCAGGAGTGGAACTGGCTAGAAGGCATCTGCCCTCTCCCCCACCTCAGGCTGAGGCTTCAAGCTGTCAGGCCACTGGGTTTTGAGGCCTTCTGACCATCAGGAGGCTACTGCAAGGCTGGGGGCTGAGGCAGGGGTGGGCACCTGGCCTGGCAGGGCAAATACTGAAGGCAGAGCACTGGCCTGGGGTCAGAACCTTGGCTTCTAGTCCCTGGAGGCTCAGACAGCTGAGTCTCCCTTATACCTGCTGCTGCTCTGGGTCTTGGAGGGGGAGCCAAAGATACCCCGTCCTTGAGCCCTGTGGGGTCCTCTGCCCTGACTGCGGGGCCAGGGCTGGTGGGAGGAGGTGCCAAGGCCACCGGGGCTGCCCGGGGCCTGCAGCTGAGCGTGAAGCCTCATCGCAGCCAGATGTGGAGAAGTGGCCCTGACTCGGCTTCCCATCTCAAGGCCAGGGCTCCCCAGGGGCCCCAGATGCAGACGGCCAGGACGTGTTTCCCAAGCCACGGGGGAGCCCCACTCCCGAGACCGGCCCGCCTGTCCCCGCGGCACCGATCCACCGGACACTGGAAGCGGCCACACGGTCGCCGGAGAAGCGGCGCGGAGGCTGCCGGCACCGGGGAGCCGCCTCCCACAGCGCCGCAGGCCCCGAGCGCGTCCCCGCGGAGGAGCACTGATTCCGTCAAGGTGCTGCCACGTCACACAGGCTCTGGCCTCTCCTGGTTGCAGGAAACCCTGTGTTTCTTTACGTCAACACTTGCCGTGACCTTTCGCACGCCGCGCCACACGGCGACGCCACGTGCAGGTGGACGGAGTGCAGCTTTCACCACAGATGTGCTGACTCAGGAGCCCTCCTCCACCAGAGCGTCTCTCGGGCCAGGGAGCCGCGGAACGGTGAGGAGTGAAGGAGGGAGACGGGCACCAGGGCGGGGGGCCTCACAGGCACCGCGGGGACGACTGCAGACGGTCTCACCGCCACACGTCTCGTAACGGCTGGGACACATTCTGAGAAAAGCGTGGTTGGGTGACTGTGGCGTCGTGCGGACGTCCGCGTGCGCACGTCAGCGTGCGCTCACGCAAACCTCGGCGGCCCCGCCTGCTGCGCACCCAGGCCACGTGGCAGGCCGGCGGCTCCAGGCTACGCGCCTGCCCAGCACGCCGCTGCGCGGGACACTCCGGCGCTGGCAACACCAGCGCGATACTTGCATAGCTAAGCATAGCCAAACACAGAAAAGGCACAGTAAAAATACAGTTTTATACATTATTATAACAATGCATGTCTACGCCACATAATTGTGATGCCGCTGTCATATATGTGGTCCATGATGAAACGTCGATATGTGGCACGTGACTGTATAAGAAAGTGATTTTTTAAAAGCCACTGCTGTCAAGAGATGCCTGTGGGCTGCTGGGGCGGGTGGCGGGGCGTGTCGTCCAGAGCAGCTGTGGGGCCGACGTGAATCCCTTTTCTCAGAGCGTGACTCCTGGACACACGTGCATGAGCGTGCACACACTTAGCCCATACCCGAGGACACACAAGCACGTGCGGACACGGAACACACACAGGCACAGCGTAAGAGCACGCACACATCACCCCCGGCAGCAGTCCCGTGCAGGGGAGCACACATCCGCGCACACCCACGCAAAGCCTTGGAGCTCGCTGACAAGAAGGCAAGCACACAAAACACGCCGAAGCACAGATGGAGGCCCACATGTCCACACACATGAGCCTGAGCAAGCGCAGACACGCACACGCACGCCACACGCCACCACGCACTGACGGACACGCGCAGGCGAGCGCACACGGGTGAGCGCAGGTGCCCCTCCGTGCCCGGGGTACGCACCTGCGTCCTCACGCCGCGTGTCTGAGGCCATGACGGCCTCCCTGCCTCTCCGTGGAAGTGGGCCCGGTGGGGGTGGGAGTGACGCCGCGTTCTAGAGGGAAGCCGAAGGAGTCCAAAGCAGTTCACAGAAGGCATATGTCCTGCGAGTATTTTTATCTTTAGCACTCAGATGTCTAGCAGAGTCTGGATGGCTCCGTATTGCTACCAGGAAGGAGGACAGGTGGCTGGATTTTAAAGCAGATGGCCTCTGGGTGCAGAAGAAGGAGACCCCGGTTCCCCCCGCCACCACGGTGTTCCCTCCCCAACATCTTGGGTCCCCCAGGGGCCTGCCCAGGCCACCCACTTCCCACCAGGAAAACAGCTGGCAGGGTGGATTCCCCAGTTCCTACTCAGGTGCCTGGAGAGAGGGTCTGACAGCCCCCACTCCCCACCCCATGCCCCCCAGGGGCTCAGCTCTCCAGAGCACTTTGGGCCACGACCATGTGTCTCCGGCCTGGGCTGTGGCCCATTGTGGCCCAATGCAGCTGCCCCAGATGTGTGCACGGATGGTGTTTTCCACCGCCCCGGAGCTGGCAGGAGGTCTGGGCGCATGCCCTGGCCCTCTGTCTGGTCAAGGACAAGCTGGTGCATTTCCAAAGCTATTTAATCCCTGGGTTCTGACGCACCCAGTTCACCACCAAGCAGGATCCTAGTGCCCACGGATCTGATGTCAGAGGGCGGGAGCGGCCTTGGCCAGCTCCTGGCACCACTCCCTGCCTCCTGCCAGCATGGCAGCGTGGCGGAGCCGGCAGAGAGAAAGAGGCGCCCCGGAGCCTTCGCCTCTTGAATCACAACCATTCACCCAGCCTGCAAACGTCAGCACGGCCCAGAAAATGATGGTGTAAGAGAATAACAAGGAAAAATAATCAGGAGCTGTTACGTGCAAAGAGCAGATAAGCAAAACATTAGAATCCCATGTTTATTTTAAAACAATAATGTATTTAGGCAGAGGGAAAAGAAACTGGAAAAGCTAACAGGGCCTATCTTTAGAAATTTATCATCCAACAAATATTTACTGAGCACCCACTGTCAGACTGTTCCAGGTGCTGGGCACAGCGCAGTGAAGACACAGCACCTTTAGGGAGCTCATGTCCTACAGGACTCACAGGTAGTAAAACATAAAAATGTTCCACATGTAATAAGTTTTGTGGTGACATGGTGACAGCTGCCATTGGAAAAGGCCAGGAGAGGGATAGGGTGGGTTGGGAGGGGGGTTGTAATTTTTAATAGATTTTATTTTTTTAGAGCAGTTCTGTATTTACAGAAAAATCAAATCTGCAGCATAAAGATTTCCCCCAAACTTCTCCCCCTGCTCCTGGTTTCTCCTGTCTTTGCCATCTTACATTAGTGTGGTATTAATACATTTTTGCAATGAATGAACCTATATCCATTATTATTAATTTTTTTTTCCCTTGAGACAGAGTCTCACTTTGTTGCCCAGGCTACAGTGAGTGCCGTGGCGTCAGCCTCGCCCACAGCAACCTCAAACTCCTGGGCTCAAGCAATCCTCCTGCCTCAGCCTCCCGAGTAGCTGGGACTACAGGCATGCGCCACCATGCCCGGCTAATTTTTTCTTATATATATTAGTTGGCCAATTAATTTCTTTCTATTTATAGTAGAGACGGGGTCTCGCTCTTGCTCAGGCTGGTTTTGAACTCCTGACCTCGAGCAATCCGCCCGCCTCAGCCTCCCAGAGTAGCCTCCTAGAGTGCTAGGATTACAGGCGTGAGCCACCGTGCCTGGCCCTTTATTATTATTTAAAGTCTACAGTTGATGCAGATCTCCTTAGTTTGCCTAATGTCCTCATTCTTTTCCAGCATCCCATGTTCTACTTCATCGTCTTGTCTCCTGAGGCTCCTCGTGGCTGTGACAATTTCTCAGGCTTTCTTTGTTTTTGATGACCTTGACAGCCCAGTAGGCACATTGTAGGGTGCTGCTGTGCTGGAATCTGCCCCATGTTTTTCTCATGATTACACTGGGGTCATGTGTTCTGGGGAGCTGGATCACATTTTTATTATTAATATGTCACGTGTCACAAGTCCATATCATCAACGTAACTTATACTGATGTCTACCTTGGTCACCTGTGGATGTGGCATTGGCCGTGTTTCTCCACTGCAGAGCTGGTCTCTCGCCCCTCCCCACACCGTCCTCTTGGCCGGGTGGTGCTGTGTGCAGCCCACACTTAAGGGGTGGGAGTCACTTCACACATTCTCTACGCGCCCCCGCTCAAGTATCCACGTAACACTCCATCTGTAAATCTCTTCTTCATATGGATATTTGTGTTTCCTCCCCCACTCTATTAATCTTCTCGTCTCTTTTTTTTTTGACGAACAGCAGTATCGCTTTGCTTGCCCAGGCACAGTGACGTGCCCCGCGTCAGCCTGGCTCACAGCAACCTCAAACTCTGGGCTCAAGCGACTCCTCCTCTTCAGGCTCCGAGCTCACTGAGACCACAGGCCATGCGTCACAATGCCGGGCTAATTTTTTCTATATATATTACGTTGGTCCAATATTTCTTTAATTTAAAGTACGAACGGGTCTCGCTCTGCTCAGGCTGTTTCTCGAACTCCTGACCCTCGAGCTATCTGCCTGCTCGGGCCTCCAGAGTGTGCAAGGATACAGCGTCGAGCCACCGCGCCCGGCCTCCTACTTATTAATTTATTCAATCACTTCTTTATAATGGACTCACAGATATTTATTTTACATATGCATTATAATCCAATAACATTTCCTCTTGTGGCTCAAGTGTTCTAGCTTTTGGCTGTTGGGAGCTCTTTCCGCAGTCTCCTCTGTCCCTTTGACGCCTCTCCCTCAATGTGGTTCTTTTTGCTAAGCCCAGCCTCACTTTCTGGGACTGCAAGATGCTCCGGCTCATCTTGTATGTTTCCTGCTCCAGTCCCGGATTCAGCTATTTGCCCGAGGAGCCCTGGATCCTTTCGCTGGAGAATGGTGTTAGAAACCAAGACCTGGATGCTGGGTGTGACCTTTAATTGCTTATTTTGGTGGTTAATGAAGGCTTCCCTGAGAAGGTGGAATGTGAGTGAGAACTGAAGAAGGTGGGGAGCAAAGGCTAGGGATACGGGGGAAAGAGGATTCCAGAAGGAGGGAATGGCAAGTGCAAAGGCCCTGAGGCAGGCATGTGCATTGCATAATCAAGGAGCAAGGAGGCCAGTGTGGCTGGAGCCCAATGAGCAGTGGGAGGAGATGGAGATGATGTCAGAGAGGTGGTGTAGGGGTCCACCATAAAGGACTGGCTTTTGCTCAGACTGACTGAGGAAGCAGACAAGTGAGACCATCTGACTCGCTTTTTAATAAAATCACTCTGGCTGCTGTGCTGGGAACAGAAGGAAGGGGCGAGGGCAGGTGCTGCTGTGAGAATCCCACGAGCACCGATGCTGGCCTGGACCAGTGGTGGGGGGGGGCGCGAGGGGCTCAGGTCCTGAATGTGTCCTAAAGGCACAGCCGACAGCATTTTCCGACGTCTCTCACCTGGATGTCAGGCGAGAGAAGGAGGGATGACACTAAGGCTTCACCTGGTCACCTGGAAGGGGACAGTGTCAGCCGCACTGGGAGGAGACGAGAGGAACGTCACATCCTGGACACATTACACCTGAGACGCCCAATGTCCACGCGGCGGAGTCATTGGGGAGGCAGCTGTGTGCGTCCACCTGGAGCCCAGGGAGAGGGTGGGCTGGAGGTGACCGGTGACAGCCGCCTCCCAGCCCTGCCCTGTCCCTGGGCGCAGGCCGTGGGCTTAGGCTGCCGGGGCTTGGCCAGAATGTACCGCAGGACCGGCGGCCGGCACGAGACCACGAGGGGAGGGAGGCAGCTCCGAGAAAGCCTGGCCCGAGGCCCACGCGGCGCTCGGTCAGCTTCCGAAGAGCCCTGGCTTTGCTTTGCGCCGGGATGCACCGCAGACATCCGGGCCCGGGGCATGGACAGGCCCCCGAGTGAGGACCGGGCTGTCGCTCCACCCGACGTGCTCCCAGGGTGGGGCTTGGGGGACGAGGTCACTGGCTCCTGAAGCAAAAGGAATGGAGAAGGAGGGGTGGGGTGAGGAGGGCGGAAGGGAGAGAAGAGCAGGGAGGGGCGGGTCCCAGTGATGATGGCAGGGGAGAGGAGGCCGCGTGTCCCAGGGCCGTCTTCTGGTCCCATGGCTTGGCAGAAGGGCCAGCCGCCATCGGGGGCCCTTCCTGCTGCCTCCCTTTCTCTCCCAGGCCACATCTCATCCATCCGCCAGTGCCAGGGGCTCAACCTTTACATCTGCATGGAATCAGACCGGGGCTGATCACGCTGACAGCCCCCTCCTCATCCAAGCTGCCATGTTGTCTGACTTGAGCCTCTGTAAGAGCCTCCTCCCATGTTGCCTCTACAGTCTGTCGTCAGGGCAGCCACATGACCCTGCTTAAACAAAAACAAGATCGGCCCATCCCTCCGTGAACCCTCACCTCCCAGAGCAAAAGTCCTCTCCTTGGGCTGCTGAATCTTCCCTCCACTCTCTAGTCCTCACTTCGGTCCTCCCTGCTGCTCCTCCCCAGCACAGCAAGCATGCACCTGCCCCAGGACCTTTGCACTTGCCATGCCCTCTCCCTGGCTTGCTCTCCCCAGCCTAGTGCCTCCTTCCTGACCCTCCTTCTGTCTCAGCTCTGCAGTCCCCTCCTCAGAGGCCACCCCTGTCCGCCCTGTCTGAAATAGACTCCCTTCCTCACCGTCGCTCACCACCCCCTTACCCAGCTTCCTTTTAAGACTTATCACTGCTTTATTCATGTAAGTTCTCCCCACTGGAATATAAGCTCCGTGAGGACCAGGCCTTTCTTTTGTCCCCCAGAGTACCCTCGGCACCTGGAACGGCCCTCCATTAATACTTGCCGAGTGTGGAGTGAATGAATGACGCTGTCCCACCTGCTGGAGTTCCCCGGACTAGCTCAGGGCCTCAGGCCAAAGTGGAGCCTATTGCGCTAAAGATGGGAAGGAAACACCTCCTCTCAGATTTGCAGTCCCACGGGAGTCTCCTCGCCTCCGCAACCCCAGGAGCCAGCCTCGCCCCAGGTCCTTGCCTAAACTTCTCCTTTGTCCTTCCTTTTCTCCCTGGCCCATGCCCCCCGGCAGCTCAGGGCCTCCAGAGGTGTATGGACTTCGCTCTGGTCTCCACGAGCCAGTGTCCACAAGGATCCAGAATGATCTTGCTAAAACTATGTCCGCACTGCTCGCTCCTGGGCTTAACTCCCTTCGGGACCCCCAGGAGAAAGTGCGGAGTGCGGATGCGGCGGCTCTGGCTCACCTCCAGCGCCCTCTTCCCCTGCCACGTGTGTCTGTGGGCTCCGGCCCCTGCTCCTCCTCTCACGGGCCTGATTGCCACTGTGTCATTGCCATCCCCGACTCCCCCTTCAAGTTCCGGGGGTGCAGCCGGGCTGGGCGGAGGCCTGGGCCTCTGTCTTGGGTCTCAGTCGCCCAGCAAGCCTGCTGGCCTCAGTTCCTGGGGGGCAGCCACGGTGGGCGTGGGGCAGGAGATGGCGACCTCGGAGCTCGACAGGGCCCCCACCCGTCCCTCAGGGACGCCACTGCCCACGCGGCCCCAGACCCCAGAGTCCACAAGGGAGGACACGGCTCCCTCCCGCCAGGGCCTGACGCGGAAGAGGCTCTTAGGAAATATCTGTGCACTGCTTGGTTGAATGGTTGACTCTAAATAGTAGCTTTGGGTGATATTTTTCTTTCTTCATTTGTTTATTTCCCTTTTGTAAAAAAAATAATGTATACCTGTCATTTTTTATTTATTTTGTTTTATTTATTTATTTTTTTGAGACAGTGTCTTGCTTTGCTGCCCAGGCTAGAGTGCCGTGGCGTCAGCCTAGCTCACAGCAACCTCAAACTCCTGGGCTCAAGCGATCCTCCTGCCTCAGCCTCCCGAGTAGCTGGGACTACAGGCATGCGCCACCATGCCCGGATATTTTTTTCTTATATATATTAGTTGGCCAATTAATTTCTTTCTATTTATAGTAGAGACGGGGTCTCACTCTTGCTCAGGCTGGTTTCGAACTCCAGACCTGGAGCAATCCGCCTGCTTCAGCCTCCCAGACTGCTAGGATTACAGGCGTGAGCCACCGCTTCCAGCCTAGCGGTCGTTTTTTAGAATACAAAAAACTTACCTTGAAAAATCATTCCTATTGAAATGCTGACTAGCAAGTGACACTTTCTGTAGCTCCCAAAGCTGAGCAGACCCATACCGGGGCCCCGCGCCCCGCGCCCTAGGTCTGCACCCCGCAGAAACGCGTCCCTGTGTTCACAGTACACGGGAACTGTAAAGTTCACAGTGGCGCTGTTCACGACACGCAGGAACTAGAACCTACCTGACTGTCCATCAGTAACATGGGAGAAAGAAGCCACCCACCGGCAATGGGGACGCACGGCCTCTGGCTGCCGGCAGGTGACAGGGCGGGCGAGCCTCGCAGACACGGTGCTGAGCACCAGACAGCACAAAAGAGCAGCACTGAGCGGCTCGGCTGACACGCGGTTTGAGGCAGGCAGCGCAGCCCACGGGCTTAGGAGTGGGGCAGAGGTCCGTGGGGGCAGGAGGTGGGAAGGTGCTTCTGGGTGCTGGAGAGCTCCGTGTCTTGGCTCGGGAGCCGGTTACATGGGTAAGCGCAGCTCGTGCAGATTCATCCGGCTGCACACCTTGACGTGCGCAACGTCCTCTGTGTGTGCTTAACGCCAGTGAAAACATCTTGAAACAAAAGGCATGCTTCCTGGAGCAGGTCAAGTCCCCTCCCTTTCCTGTCCAAGGGGTGGGGGAGAGCTGATGCCTGGCCTTGCTGGTGCACAGCCAGGTGCCCCCTCGCCTGTGTCACCAGAGTCCCTCTCCAGCCTCTGAGACTCCCGAAGCCCCGGACTCGAGGATTCTGTTCGCATCGAGCTCTGGGGTAGATCCCGCCATTGCAGGTCAGGACTCCGTGTAGGGCCCAGAAACAGGGCGGGGTGGAGCTGCAGGCCGGCCTCCCTGGCTGGGGGGCCTCCCTGCCATCTGCCAGGCTTGGTGTGCAGGGGAGGGGGCAGGGACGCAGGCTGCCTGGGTCCCTGGCTTGTGTCCTGTGGCCTCCCTCTGCCTTCTGGCCCCTGGGGGGCTGGTGACAGTGCAGGTGGGGCTGTCTGCACCTCAGGGCCCCCCAAGCCCAGCCCCCAACTCCCAGCAGAGGGCCGGGAGCCACACACTGGTGAGACACGGGACGCCCAGGGCCTGGTCTGACCTTGCGCGCCAGCCCCAAAGGTCACCATGCTCCGGCTCTCAGGGTTCAGGTTCCCGCAGTTGGGCCGGGGAGGGCGGCAATCAATCCGTGCCCAGCAACGGCGAGGGGCGCGGGTCCAGCGCTGCCCTCAGCCCAGCGGAGTGGTTATTTATAACCTCCTGACCTTCAGCAGGGCCCGCGATCCCCAGCGATTAGCATCTCCTCCTGACCGCCCACTGCGAACAAACACCCCTCTGTGTGCCCTCCCTGGCCCAGCCTCACGGGAGGCCCTGCGGGAAGCAGGGTGTTGACCGGAGTCTGCTCCCTGCGGCTCCTGCAGGCAGCCCGGCCACGTGTGAGCTGTGGGAGGTGGAGCGAGGGTGGGGGAAGGTGCAAGAACTACTCTTGTTTTCTTCTTTCCCGGGTTGCAAATGTTCTGGTCTATTCTGGGTGGCAGTTTTATTTATAAACGAGGGCTCCCCAGCCTGGGGCTGCTCGAAGGGGTGCCCTCTCCCGAGCCAGGGGCAAGGAGGCAGCCCTGGCCACCGGAGCACCTGCCCAGCGTGGTCCCTGGAATGGCACATTGCAAACTGCGTTCTCCCTTCCTGGATGGCAGCTGAACCCTGGAGGGGCAGTGACCACATCAAGGTCCCAAGGCCATCCATGGCAGACCCCTGGCTCTGGCTGATGGCTTTTCCTGCTGGCTCCCAGGACTCCAGATTGGGGTCTGGGAGAAGCCTTGCCAAAGGATGCCAGGGTGGGGAGACTGGCCCATTCTTCATTCAGCACATATTTGTTGGGTACCCACTAGGTGCCAGGCACAGCTAAAGCCCTTACCCTTGTGACGCCAACAGTCCCAGGGAAAGAGTCCATCCCTGGGGCCGGGCGTCCCCTGATAGAGCCACACACATTCAAGGTGGTTGCCGAGGGTTTTGATGTGAGACCCAGGGAGGGAGACTGAGTCAGGGAGTGAGAGGGCCAGGCTGAGGACACATGGGGACTGCGGCCTGGGCTGAGTATCGGCTAGGAAGGCCAACACCAAGGGAGTTACCATCCCAAGCACGCGAGGGCTCAGGCTTGATGGCAGGTGCCCTCCCTGCACAGCTGCAAGTGGCCTTCCCCCCGGGGCAGGTGGCGAGCCTCTCACAGAGCACCAGTCTGCAAGGTCGTCCTGGAGGAAGACCGGCGGGGGTGGGCGGTAGGCACCAGCTGAGCTGGGAGGTCTGGGAGGGTGGTGATTGTGGAAGCTTGGAAGCCTCCTTTTTTGGGGGGGGAGGTTTCAAGTGATCCTCCTGCCTCAGCCTCCCAAGTAGCTGGGACTATATAGGCATGGGCACCATGCCTAGCTAATTTTTTCTATTTTTAGTTGTTTTGGCAATTTCTTTCTATTTATAGTAGAGACGGGTCTCGCTCTTGCTCAGGCTGGTCTCGAGCAATCCTCCTGCCTCAGCCTCCCAGAGTGCTAGGATTACAAGCGTGAGCCACCGCGCCCTGCTGGAAGCCTCCCTTTCCACCACGCTCTCAGGCACTCGGGGGACTTTTGACTGCGTGACTTGACCATGCCTTTTCTGGGCCTCAGTTTCCCACATGAGCAGGGAGTGGGTTGGCTGAGATAAGCCCTTTCGACCTCGGCTGCCGGTGGTTCTGGACCCTCCAGAGGACCCGAGTCTGGCGCAGCCAAGGGGACGGGCCAGGTGGAGTCAGGAGTAGCCATGGCCCTGGGTCACTAGTGTGGCCAACAACTTGCACCTGTGTGTGAGGGAACAGCGTGTGCACATACATATGTCCAGTGTGCCGTGCTGGGTGCGGGCTGCACGTGGGAGTGTGTGTCTCGGGTGTGCGGGACCCTCCATGTGGAGGGAAAGGAGGGGCGTGCAGCCGGGGTGGGGTGGGCGTGCACCTGTAGGGGTGTGGGTGGGTGTTGGAGCAGCGTCTCAGTGGTGGGGGCTTGAGGCAGGGAGGAAGGCCTGGAGGCCCCCCACTCTGCAAACCCCTCTGCCCACACGGTCAGCTATGGCTGGCGGGCCCTGACCAGTCAATGAACTCAGAGTCTGGAAGAGTCAGCGGCTTTTCCAACCTCTTTGCCAAATGGGATGTCAGCATGGGGGCGGGTCGGGGTGCGGGCTGGGGAAGGTGGCGATGACTTCGTGACAACTGGCTGCCGAGCAGCTGCGGGGGGCGGGCAGGGAACAGAGCCGGCTGGCAAGAGGCCTGGCCCCTGGCCCCTGGCCCACGTCCAGGGCGGGCCGGGGATCCACTCCGGGCGGGGGAGGCACCCAGGCCACAGGCTCGTGCTTCCGAGGGACCCCTCGGTTCCCTTTGTGGGGCTTTCTGTCGGGATCCCGTCTGAGCCACAGCCGCCCTCGGGGTAAAGGCTCTGGTCCCTGTTGAGCAGGTGAGGAAACTGAGGCGCGCCGGGTGCGTGGCGGAGCTGGGCTGGGCACGCGGCGCGTTTCGCACTCTGCCCCACGCCGTGCTCCTCTGCGACCACGTCCAAGTTCAGGCGTCGGCCTTCCCTGAATCCTCCAACCTGATGCCTCCGGGCACCCAGAAGGGCTCTTTCCGGGGAGGCCCTGCACCCTGGCCTCCACCACTCGGGGGCGGCCAGCACGGCGACCACGGGCAGGGCCACCGCGGGGAAGCAGAAGCCTTTCCGGCAAACGCCGGCCCTCTCTCCACGCCAGCCCCGGCGGCCGGC